CCTACTGGATAGAAAGGGCAGTTAACAAGCTTCATTGGACATACAGTAATACAATGCCTGTCCATTTCGCGCCTCATAAGCGTTTCCGGGCATTTCTGCTCACATTGAAGTATTTTAAAAGGACAAGTCGAGTCGTGCTGTTTCAGCTGAGCTGCACTAAATCGCGCGTTACATCCCTCATTTTCACAGTTCAATTCCCTGAAACTGCACGTGGCGATATGTTCAGAGAGCTCTTCTTCAGATTTAAACTTCATATTGCAGTGATAAGTGTTCTTGAAGTCGATATTACTGATCAACGTTTGCGCCACTGCTATCCGCCTTCCCATCAACCAAAAGCCGTTTACTTCCATTTCTTGCACGAAATCGTCTATCCTTTCCTCTCTCCTCTCGCTTAGTAGCCACGCTGATACTCTGCTGAAAAAGTTCCTCTTAGACTGTGCAAAATCATCAATAAAATCTGATATAATATCATGAGGATTATCCGACAATACTTCAGTAACCGCATCACCTTCTAAGACAACAGACTCAGCGACAAACATCTCGCTTCTCTGAACAAGATAGTCCACCATTTCTCTTCTAATATTAACAGCAACAGAAGCTGGGCTATTCAATAGACCGCCAGTCGTGTTGTCAATACAGGCAGAGGCTAATCCTGGAAGGAATTCGTCTGCTACCTTTTGAACCATTTCCGCATCAAATAGATCACAGCAGAAGAGGTGACTATCCTCTTTCACTTCCTCAATTTCTGCTGGTTTAATTTCCTCCACTTCCTCTAATTTCACATCTTTAAGTGCTGCTATTTTGATTTTCTCTTCATCTATAGGGCGATCCATGTTAAAAGAAGCTTCGGACATGTTCAATGAGACAATAAACTGCACTATCGATAACATATTATGATTAGTACCACAGACACTGATAATGTATATAAGAGAAACACCCTTAAAACAAAAATAAGAATCCAAAAGCATGACATAGTGATCTCGGCTGGCGAAATGGATATTAACCATCAGCAAATATAGACGGATGCAGTCATATTCACTGGGTTCAACTGAATCAGTATTTTTGAGACGAAACATAGATATATAACTATATGAAACACTCCTAAAATTTCAACAAATATTAGATTCTGAACCATAATTTCAAACGCATCAAATTTAAATCCTGGATCGGCCTCAGATTCCAAACTAGTGATACCATTTATATGAGAGTTCTCTTTAACAAGAGAATCCGACAGCACGCCATCAAAATTTTGCAAGCAATCACAAACTGAACATATTAAAATCACGCCATTAAATCGAAACATATAACATGTATTCTAGAACATACAGGAAGGAGGAAATGATCTCCCGTGTCCACTTACAATTTGAATAAAAGAAAATGTCCCCACAAAAGATATGTTGTGTTATTTTGACATATATCATGTGTTATTTTTTATTGATCTCCTATAAAAAATGTCATATAGCTAAAATAACATTTGTAATGGAGTACAATATTGCTCAATAGGAAGTGACAATCACACAGAGAGAAAGGAACAAAGAGATCACCTCTAGCCTCTTGTTTGTAAGATTGGATCGGACGTGAAAATCTTGGAATCCATTAAATCGGTGTCAATTCAGATTCCAAAAACGAGCTCAAATTACTTTCATGAAAAGCTAAAATGCAAACAGAAAGGCATTAAAAATGTGAAGTAAGGACAACAAATTTTGTTGGAAAAAAAACATAGATAGTAAAAGATTGAATACCTCGAAATCTTGTGGATCGCCTGTTTTTTATTGTTTCAGTTGGCTATAACCGTTAAGGTGAAAAGTAGAGACAATTTTGTTCCGGGCCTCAAGTTTCTTAAGAGTTACTATTTCCTACACATTTGAAAGGATATGGTTAAACTACTTTTTTTTTTTTTTACGAAAAAGGGTCAAAAATACTCCTAATTAACGTTAAGAGCATTTATAAACCAAAAGGTTAACGGAGTGCGTTGGTGAGCCATATTCAATTCATTAGGGACATTTTTAGCCCTTTTCTTTTCCGTTTTGTTTATGGGAAACAGCGATGGGCAGTTCGGTTTGAATTATGAAAACTTCAATTTGGTTTTATAAATTCAAACCAAATAAGCTCGGTTTGGTTTGGGTATTTAGAGTTTGGTTTCGATTAATCAGTTTGATTATTTGAATTTTCAATTTGATGAGTTGGGTTTCTTCTTCTTACAATGAAAAGAAAAAAAGAATCTTTAAATAAATTATTCATGTCATATTGCTTTAATAATTCCTCATTCCTACCGCATCATCTGGATATTTAGTTATTGTAAGTACAAATGCAAATTTGTAATATAATACACTACAAGAAACAGTCTTTTCCGAGGGAAGAAATCAATAGAAAACTGTCGGTAATGGGTAATTGCACCCTCAATTTGTCATATTTTTTAAACCTTCATTTTCGGTTAATACTATACCATTCTTTTTGCGCAAATAATAAGAGATTGCATGTTAATTAATTCTTCAAAAATGTATTCTGTTACTTTTATTGATAATATATAACCAAAAGTCTCGGACTCTAACCTCTATGTTTGGTGTGATGCCTCTCTAAATATGCAAATATGATTCCCAAGTAATAAAAGAGGCAATAGTAACTTAAATGGAAAATCATAAACATAAAATAAAGACAATGCTAGCATATTACAACAATATAATATTGTTTGTTTGAAAGCATAGAACACCAAGTACTGTGAAATAAAGAACCCATGAATTACTAAACGAAGAACGGTACAATGCAACAAGAATAATCCCAAACAAGTTGAGATCGGCTACATAAATCTTCACTAATCCATTTAAGCTCAACTCATATCATATCGTACCAAATAAAATAAACCCTAAGCCCAAAACCCTAAGAACGCTACAGTGCAAGCATCATAAATAAAATGCCCTCTGAAACACCTACTACTTTTTTATTACCAAAAAACAAAAGGCAGAGAATTAAGGATAGTGAACTAATTAAGTGCCATGAAAATGGCACTTAATTAATTAACAAGACCTAGTGCAAAAGCACTTTCTTTGCCAGCCAATGCAGTCCCCGCCGGTGAAACCTTCGCCACGGCACACCTCAGCGCAGTTATGGTCACCTAGGCAAGGCCCTTTGTACTTATGGCTTTGCGAGATGCACACTCTTCCCTCCACTCGTGGGATCGCCATTTCTGCACCCATACAAATAAAGATTTAAATTTTATACGCCGAAGACAGTGTACTCATATTTTACACTATATTTAACCAGTTATAGACGGTTGTTACTTTATTTTTCATGTCGTCGTATAAGATTTGTTACGAATAGTTATATGTTATTATACGTCAACTTAACATGCATGATAGCATAAACAATTTAGAGTTTATGTAATATACATCGTCATTGTATATAATTTTTACACATCACATCACATTTATCTATTGTAGTAGATAAATTGTCTTATTTTTAGGATTACATATCCTAAAAATCTATACATTGTCAATGTCCGGAACTTAAACTCAAAACTAAAACTATACGTAATTTCTTCTATTAGAAGTGTTATTAGATATAAAAAGCTGTGACCAGAATTTAGTCTTTAAGTCGAGATAAAAAACGAAGGATTATAAGCATTTTAAAGTAAGATTATAAGCATTGTTCCTATGTATGTTCCTAAATATCAGTTCATATAAAAAAGAAAGGCGAAAAGAAAAGACTTACGTGAGGCGAACAAAATGAGAAGGCAAAACAAAAGACCAGAAATTTTCCTCTCCATATTTTGTTATCCTTTTTTCACTAACTCTGTAAATAAACTCACACTGATCTCTTCGAATTATTCGGATGTGACTCTTAAGACAAATGGAGATCACTATAAATAGAGAAATGGAAGCAGCAGTGGCATAATGTTACTGTCCTCGTGTAGTTTAAAAAAAAACAGAAAAAAAAAGAGACAAATTTATTCTTTAGATTATTTAATGCCATCTCTTTTAAGCAAAGAGACAAAAAGAGAGCTCTTTTACGCAACCTCGAAAAGATGAAAGTGCATGGTGTTACTATCATTTTGTGCACATAATTTGAAATTTTATTTGTCTATCGTCCTTGACAAAATATATGCAGAATAACACAATTTAATCACTTATAAGTTAATTATAAAATAAATGTTTATAATAAGTATTAATCGATAATTTGATAAAACTGAATGGGTGACAACATACTTTCACAAATTAAACTAAACTACTGGTGTCAAAAATATTTACATTGTAAGTTTATATATGTAACTTAAATCCTTTCACAAATGACGAAACGATGCTTTCAATTTGTGTTCTTTCGCCAGTGTGCCACACTTAAACGAAGTGAAGAAACATCATACTATTATTTCTTTTTAATTCTCTTCTCCATTTTATTTGATTCTCAAATCTTGAGAGAACATCACACATTGAATAATTTATTTTTCTTATGTTATTTCTAGAGTCTTACATTTGGTTTTCACCTAATCCTACCTCACACAGTTATAAGTAAAAGAATATATGTTTGAAGTGTGATTATATTTTCTGACTGATATTACCCCAACAACAACAATAAGAAGATATCACTAGACAACAAATGTAGTTGTACAAATCGCTATATTGTCGCACTTTAATTTGAAAAACTGTTTACTCATAAAATATTTTATGTTTTCTCCAATATATATTTTTTATTAGGGTTATGGATTTGAACCGACTCCGTTTTATAAGCGACTTAACAAAGGATAGGCCTAAATAATCTTCATTTGGGTCGTTTCATTGGTGTATGACGACATACGTAATTCCAGCATAAAATTCCGCATAAATAAAGCAGTGTTCGATTGGCCACATAAATAATTGCCCCATAACTCAAATGTAGCATTTGGTTTGCAGTATTAAATATTACATATATACATCAAGTTATACGAGAATTTTTATGCATGATAAAATGTGAAACAAGAATATGTGTATTAGTATTGCAGGGTTAAGATATTTAAAGATTAAAATACCCTTTCAAAATTAGTAATTCATATATAATAATTTTAATAATAGTAATCACGGCACAATAATCCCTTCGTTAATTATTAATCACCTCACAAAATCTCTCTTCATTATAATCCCGTATAAATAATCCTTCATTATATATAATTTTCGCATAAGTAGTATGTAAACCAAACGACCTCGTTTCGAACACAGACTGACTGGCTGACTGTCTGGCTGACTAAAGTTTTAGTGTTCAGAGGAGTAATCACGTGACAGCGCAAAACTAAGCATTAATGAAAATTAACTCCGACATAATATAAGGTTAATTTATACGTTTAAAAGCAGACAAATTAAATTAAAACCAGACAAGAGTGCACCAGTGATCGATGCATTGAAGATGATAGTGCGTGCATGGACGGCTATGACTCGAAAATCAAACCAGATCTATGGGTTGTTGGTGGAATATTATAATGGAGATTTAAATTATATATAAATAATTTTATATGTTGTCATTGTAATTTAATATGTTATAATATATTGTTATTCTCTGTAGAGTATGCAGCATATGGAGTTGTGGAACAACTACAGTATTTTTATGTTCTATGTTTAAAATTTAGATATGTTATCGACTCATTTACTTCTATTATGTCAATATTAATTACCACAATTGAAATTATGGTTCTTATTTATAGTGATAACGATAAATTTGCCTTCTCAATCATGTCTGAGATAGTGAGATCTAACATTCTAGGGATCTTTGTGCTTTACTCTCTAAATGTTACTTTCAATGAGTTGCATTAAGTTAATACTCATACCTTGTTTAATAGTATATAAATACGATGAACATCAATCGAATGTGATAAATACTGATTAGTGGACGTGCCTCTTAAGCAGAAAAAGACAATCAATCAAGCATAAAACTACTCAAATACTACTCCCTCATGTCCACAATAAGTGATCATTTTACATTTTTATTTTGATCCAAAATAAGTGTTTATTTACATAATCAAGAAGGAATTAATTTTATTTTTTCAAAATTTACCCTTATTTACATATTCCAATATGTCGAAATAACAATTAATTAAGGTTAATTTAGTGAATACATCTTTTTTTCTCTAGAAGTTCGTATTTCCTTAATGGGTGTGTCAAAGGTAAAATTGTCACTTATTGTGGACCGGATAGAATATCTATCTATCTAGAACGTGCTGAATTTAAATCCAGTAACGTGAGAAGAACTCAAATACAGCACATCAATATATTTTGGTTTTCCCTTTCCCTTTTATCAGTTCAATTCAATTGATTTACTACTTTCACTTTACGTTCGAGCATTTACCTCTTCTTTTTAAGCTTTCTTTACATTTATGCCTACTTTAGCTTATTTCGTTAATTCATAAACTTGGATTACTCATACTAAAATATAGTAACTTCCACTACTATAACCTTGTGTAAAATGTATAGTCGAGTGGAATTCCCTTCTCATCATAATCACCTAGACAAATTAAAAGTCACTGCATAGTGAATTCAACTGCCACAGCTGCCTACTCGGCCAGATTCATGAATGTTTCCTCTCTGATAAGAGAGATAAAAACGACAACAAACCCAGTGTAATCCCACGAGTGAAAATTCTGCGTCGTTGCCGGGGATAATGACCTAAAAAAAAAAGATAAAGGTGTCTACTTCAAGTGACACTGCCCACCTATTCTAAACAAACACCATGGCGATAATATACATATTTTAATGGGTAGTGTGCTTTATGGCATCGGCAATATTGACACAAAGGAGACATAAGAACCCAACTTCGCATTCACAAAAAGAACGGTGAAATGCCTGTTCAACCCAAACAAACACTTGATATTTTATTTTTCCTGAATAGATTATACATATAGCAAATTCTACAAGTTTGATGATCCTAATTCCTGTTGAGCCTCCAAGTTCGCTAAAGAATATGGTTAAAGAATGAAGTGGAAAACCAAACATTGAGCACAGCCAACATTTTCATTTCTCTTCCTGTCACAACCAAATGCACCGGAGAATTATGAAGTGAGGGATGTCAGAATTGAGTTAGCAACTTTGGTTGCACTCAACATGTGACTGCAAAGGGCTCCAAAAAGGCGGCTTCCTCTTGCACTAATCATGGATCTGCTTGTGTACAACCTGCTCCTCCACAGCTAGTAGCACGAGCCAAAATGCAATTAATGGCCATAATTTCTACATCAACAATACTTTCCATATCTTTCTCATATACACGACCAGAGACCAAACAGCAAGCCATGCTGAAACATATAGCAAGATCACACCGGAAGCAACGAAAGTTTCAGCCCCTGATAAACTACAGGGAGGACAGTTACCGAGGTCAAATCACAATCAGATGAATTTCCAATAAGCATTCCCTGTTACTTCAAACATTAGCATGAGTTTAGAACACAAAAGATACCTGCTATCTCTGGTAACCAGGAGGATGGTCAGTGCAATCATCTGAGTGGCTGTTTTCCACTTCCCCAAGTTATTCACGGCAACAGCCTGGAAAATTCATTACTTATTGCTGTGGTAATTAAATCATGAAGTGGATTACTCTAAAGTAAACAATAATAGGTTAATCGTGAACCTCTGAAAGTTTACCACCCTGAGAAGCTGCCCATTCTCTAACTGCAGACATAGTTATCTACAAAAAGATGTGCAAAATGAATAAAAGATCAGTGTTCATCGCTTGTCCATGATGGAGAATGAACCAAAATTCAGTTAAAAAAGATTTTAGCCGCACAAGGAAGAGCATCATATGATATATATTTATTGGAAAAGAAAGAAGAAATGAATCTTCAATATAAGTCCTACATTATTATTGCAAAACTCCATGTTAAATCTGGACCCATATATCTCAAAGAGTATCAGAATGCCGTATGCTACGCAAAAAATTAATAAGCTAAAATCCAGATAACAATGTCTAGGTGAATATATCTCTAGTGAACTATTAATTAGGTTCATCAAAAGTACCCAAGGTTTAAATTCATATTCTCAAATGAAATTTATGTTCTATGTTGTGATGGGAATCAATGAACAACGTCTCTTAACAGCGAAACAAGAAGAAGACTTAATAGGGGATGGAAAATATTGTACTACAAGTCTACAACTACGCCGTATATGAATCTCCATTCCTTTCATTTAGCTCAACTCATCATCATCATTACCAAAATAAAACAAAAAAATACAAATAAAAGATATATATATAAAACAAAGTTCTCTACCAAGTCTAATATTATAATAATTATTATTATTATTATTATTATTATTATTATCATTATTATTATTATTATTATTATAATAATAATAAAAGTTCTCTACCAAGTCTAAAACCTATTCCCAACTAGTAGGTAACCTATATGGATTTTTCTCTTCCATTGTGCCCTATCTTTAGCAAAGTCTGCATTGATTCCAAGGATTTGTAGGTCTTTCTAAACAACAACCTTCTATGTGATTTTAGGTCTACCCCGTCCCCTTTTCACACCTTCCTCCACCATGATTTTACACCTACGGACCGGTGCATCTGTAAGTCAACGCATGACATGACCAAACCATCTCAAGTGACCCTATCTTATTCTATCCTCCATGTGTTCTACTTGCACCTTCTAGCGGAAGTGATCATTTTTAATCTTATCTAATCTTGTGTGACCACACATCCATCTTAGCATTCGCATTTCTATAACACACATCTTGTGGATATGTTGAACTTTAGCCGCCCAACATTACCATATAACATATATGGTCTTATAGTTGAGAACTAACTTTTCACCTTGGTAGGCATCCTTGCATCACATAACACCCCAGTAGCACTTCTCTATTTCAACCATCCGGTTTTAATCCTATGAGTAACATCTTCATCTATCATTTCATTCTCTTGAAATAACGAGCCTAGATATATAAATTGTTATACATTTTGGCACTACCATTCCATCTAGTCTAACCGCAACTTCGCTTTTCTCATGGTAACTAAACTTGCACGGCATGTACTCAGTTTTTACTTCTACTTATCTTAAAACCCTTACTCTTTAAGGTGTTTCTCCCTAACTCAAGCTTTTGGTTGACGCCCTCGCTAGTTTCGTCAATTAGCATAATATCATTAGCAAATAGCATACACCATGGGACCTATTCTTGTATTTTGTTGGTTAGCTCGTCCATAACTGGGGTTAATAAATAGGGGCTCAATGCAGAACCCTGGTGTAAACCTACTGTTATAGGAAACTCTTTTGTATCTCCTACTACTATTTGCGTGCTAGTAACTGCTCCTTCATACATGTCCTTTATGACAATTATATATTTAATATGAATTTCTTTCTTCTCCATCACCTACCAAAGGACTTTTCCAGGTACTTTATCATATGCTTTCTCTAGGTCAATGAATACTAGGTGAATCTTTCTTCCTTTCGCGATAAATTTTCATTAATCCTCTTAGCAAGAACATAGCCTCTGTTGTAGATTTACCTGGCATAAATCCAAATTGATTCTCTGTCACTCTTATCGTGTTCCTAAGTCTACACTCTATCACTCTTTCCTAGAGTTACATTGTATGACTCATGTGTTTAATGACACGATAGTTCGCACAACTTTGAATCAAAAAAGATAGAATAGCTTTCCTATCCCTCATAATATTTCATTAGGATAAATCAATAAAATTAAAATTTACAATTTCATTAGGTGAAATAAGTTGTTTATGAGAATTTCTAGATAGATTTTCAAGTTTTCTCCGTCTGTTTTAGAAAATTAATTAGGTAATTTAATTTCTTCCACCCAAAGAAACAATATGGAAACTTTTTCTTTCATGAACAAATGAAAATTTTTGACGTGGAAACTTTCTTTTTATTTTGGAGATATTTTCCCAAACTTTCTTTTTACCGGGAATTTAACTGGCACTTCTTATCTACCCCCATGGCTAACACGCTTGTATTAATTAGTGATAGCTTTTCAAATTCTGTCATTCTCCTATAAAAAGGAGATTGGATCAAGTCACTCTCCATCACATCACCCTAAACCCTAAAAAATACCTCCTAGAAGAAGCGACGCTTAAGGCATCAGCGAGATAGCTCCATGCCTCGGTGTTATTAGGAACATAGTGGACGAAACCATGGAATTCCTCTTTGATCACAATCAGTGTGTCAACAATGAAACCTTGCAGGAGCAAGAATATGTTGTGTAGCATCCTTCTCCACCTCGACAATGCAGGCTAGTTCTACACTTCTCCTAGATCCCTTGCACCAAGTGTTGACTAGTTTATATTTAGTTCTTGTTTATTTGTTGTTCTGTTTGGGTAATGGTATTTTAATGTACTTCTGTTGATGGCAATATTATAGTATGTTTAGTTTCCATTATGTTACTCAATGTCCCTCTTGTTGCTTATGCTCATATTTCCCATTAACAAAAAAAGAATTACATTAGGAAACATAACCGACTTAAAATGTGTTAAGTATATGTAACATCAATTAAATTATTAAATTAATTTATTTAATATGGGCTACATATCCCC